AGGTGCGCGAGCGTTTCTGCCAGCCCCGGCCGCAGCGCGCGTTGCAGCTGGACCACTCTGTCCACGAGGACCAGCCCCCGTTCACTGCAAAACAACAACGTGGGAAAGGGGGCTGAGGGGCTGAGGGGGTGTGCCAGAGCCCCCCAGAACCAAACCCAAACCCAAACCCAAACCCAAACCCAAACCCAAACCCAAACCCAAACCCAAACCCAAACCCAAATCCATCCCAGCGGGAAGGGCTTGGCTGGGTGTAGCAGTTCGTTTGGGGGATCCCCTAAGCTGTGTGTTTGCTCGTAGCAGCAGGCAAGAAAGGAGAATCCACACAGCTTCTGAGGGTGCTGATTAAAACACCAACATGGTGGGGGGCTGAGGGGCTGAGGGGGTGTGCCAGAGCCCCCCCAGAACCAAACCCAAACCCATCCCAGCAGGAAGGGTGTAGCAGTTCATTTGTGGTCCCGGGCGGTCCCCGATGGTAGCAGCAGGCAGGCAAGAAGAATCCACACAGCTTCTGAGGATGCTAATTAAAACATCAGCGTAGGATGGGGGCTGAGGAGCTGTGCCAGAGCCCCCCAGAACCAAACCCAAACCCATCCCAGCAGGAAGGGTGTAGCAGTTCATTTGTGATCCCGGGCGGGCCCCGATGGTAGCAGCAGGCAGGCAAAGGAGACTCTACACAGCTTCTGAGGGTGCTAATTAGATGAGGGTGCTAATTATTGGGGGGTCTCACCCCTTGGGAGCAGCATGGTTTCTGAGGGAGAAGGGGAAAAGGAGGAGAGAGGGAGAGCATAAGGAGAAAAGGGCCAAGAGGGAGTCTGATCTCCCTGGCACAGCTTAACAGGGGGATTCAAAGTGGGTGCACAATAAGCCTTGGGCCAATGGTATTACAGATCCATGATACTTCAGGGGAGGACCACAGGCTTGGAAAAAACATTTCTGAGGGGTGAGACAGAGCACACCATTTAACTAAAATGTAACACCACAATTCACCCTTATTTTGTTAGAAAGAGAAGATGAAGATAAATAAGTGCCAAGAGATTGTCTGTGGTCTCCCTGGCACAGCTTAACAGGGAGATTCAAAGTGGGCACAGAATGAACCTTGGGCAAATGAGATCCATGATATTCAGGGGAAGAACACAAGCTTGGAATAAACATTTCTGAGGGGTGAGACAGAGCACATCGTTTAACTAAAATGCAACACCACAATTCACCCTTTTTTTGCTAGAAAGAAAAGATGAAGATAAATAAATGCCAAGAGAGCGCCTGTGGTCTCCCCCACACAGTTTAACAGGGAGATTAAAAGTGGGCATGGAATCGAACTTGGGCCAATGGAATTACAGATCCATGATATTTCAGGGGAGGATCACAAGCTTGGAATTAATATTTTAGAGAGGTAAGACAGTGCAAACCATTTCACTAACATGTAACCCCACAGCTGGGTGATCCCGCGTGCGCTGGGTTTGAATCAGTGCCGCGATAACAGCACAAATCAAAGC